GAAGATTTCGTATCGCCCTGGAGATGACGATTTCTAATACCCGTTCTTGATTCCATAACTTGATCTTCCACACACTGCCAATCAGTGTCAATCCCGTAGGAAACCTTAAGGCGTGGTGTTTAGACTCACAATCGGTAGGTTTCAACCGAGTCGTCTCCGCTACTCACTTCGAACGGCACGGGCCTGAATCCATCCATTGCGGACATGCGAAACCCTCAGTGTTGGCACAGATCGTTGTTTGAAAGACGCAACCACCATATTCAATCCTGTTACTAACGATGCTTCGTCATTATTTCCGCAACGAAACGTTCCTCGTTTCTATACACAGGGCTAATCATGGATTAACAGAATAGTATTACCGACGGTCGCCCACAGTCGGTCTGGGGTCCACAGTCTATTACTCATCCCCAGGTAGCTCGCAAGAATATGAATCTGCGTTGGTACCTTCCTCGATGCCCGATATCAAATTGGGTATAAGGTTTCCGTCATAGGATCTATGTCTATCCTGGTGTGTCATCTACGAATGACTCGGGAGAGGATGATGCGGACTTGACGCTCACTCGAATATAATCGTCAATACCGCCTATTTCGGAACGGAGGTCAACTGAGCTGAAAGACCCTGCAAGTAGGGAATGTGACGCCTACAGCGTCAGGTAGTACGCCTGCTGTGCGCCTACGAAACATGATTAAAATCTCTCCGTTCATCTCTTCTGACTCACTGTCTTCCTTCCTCTCATTCGTTCTTCCTCCCCTCATGTTTCGTCGCATCTTACTTACTACGAATTGTGAATACGGACAAGCAAATGTTGTCCTTGCTCTGGCGTACGAGCTTGCCACACGCCCTGGTGTCAAGGTCGCTATTGCTTCATTCGCACCTCTCGAAAAGCGCGTCATGCAGCTGCAGCAGCAATTACGAGACGCCAAACACGATTCCGACATCCTGTTTCATCCACTCCCTGGTCGCGGACATATCGAAGCGGTCGGTATGACCAGGCTCGATACGCCACATGGGCCCGGCGTCAAGCAAGCTCTACATAGCTTTCGTTATGCACCGAGCATGCTGCTTCCTTGGACAGAGTCCGAATATATGGAACAGCTCACGACAATTGAAAATATTGTTCATAAGTTCGAACCAGAGGTAGTTGTGGTTGAATGGTTCCACCGGGCTGGTCAAGATGTATGCAAGAAACTTGGTCTGAAGTTCTTCGTGATCACACCGAACTCTTCGAAAGACATTATTGGCTTCCGACAGCCATGGGCCACCGGCCTGTGGAAGTTTCCTGCGTATGTTGTGCCTTTGATCTTCGCTGTAATATAGTCCTCATTGATAAGTATGATACATCACTCCAACAGACTATCTTCAGGATATGCTTACCCGCTACCATGGTCAAAGCTAATACCCAACATGTTCATCAACTTGATGTTAATATCGGGAATCAAGCTGTCCATGACCGTACACAAAGCTGATAAAATGCGTAAAATCTATAATAAAGCTAATCCTCCTATCCTCGTTGATCCGGAAATTCAATACCTCTGTCCATCTGCTCCAGACCTCGATTTTCCTGTCACAGTCCCAGACAACATCAGACTATGCGGACCTCTTGTTATGCCCACACCTCCCATTCACAAAACCGATCCAAAACTCGCGGCTTGGCTGAATCAAGCACCTACTGTCCTAGTCAATTTGGGCTCACATGTCACCTACGATTGCTCTGCAATCGGACAGATCGCAGGTGGATTTCGACCGCTATTACGGCGCCACCCTAATGTCCAAATTCTATGGAAACTTAGTCCTGAGGGTGACGTTCAAGAGGCCCTAGATGAATACATTGAAAATGATGTTGATATCCGAGGACGAGTACAGGTCGTGCACTGGCTCCAATCGGAGCCTTTGGCGGTTCTTCAACACCCAAACTTGATATGTTCCGTGCATCATGGAGGCGCGAATTCATTCTTTGAAGCAGTGTCGTGAGTTTCTGTATTTTGTCCTTGGAACGTTTGCGAAGACTCAAATAACGAGCAGAGCCGGCGTTCCTCATGTCGTTCTTCCAGTATGGTACGACACCTATGATTATGCTACGCGAGTTGAATGGCTCGGGATTGGGTTATGGGGAAGTCATCGCAGTGCCCCCAACGCTGAAGCTTCAGAACTCGCAGAAGCTCTGTTACGGGTAGTAGGTCCTGGTGAAGAGGCGGAGAGTTTCAAGCGAAAGGCCGAGAATTTGGCAGAGAATTGTCGGACTCGATATACTGGTCGGGTCAGAGCTGCAGATGAAATTCTGACGCTTTACACAGACCGAATATGATGAACATGATATATATGTTCACATCGCATAATTTATGATTTCCGTATTTTGCTCCCTTCATCGAAGGGCTCTTTACTACTTTTTTTAATAAGAAAAACTTTTCATTCACCGCAAATAAGTCTAAGTACTACATAAGACGCGGGGAGTCGTGGCAGCAGACGATCATATATACTTCTACTCATTCTTCTGGGCCATGTTCTGGGCTCTTCACTTCATGGTCTTAAAAGAGTCTGACTTTCCCTGAGTAGAAATGTGCCTTGCTATTAATTATTAATGAAGACCTTGCCTTTAGACATCGTTCTTATAAACAGATCGTCTTTCTCAAATTGAGCTCATGATCAACGTTCGAAACCCTTTATTTATTCGACTCTGCATCAACATCAACATCATCAACATCTTTCACATCCTTCACAGCCTGCAACCGCGTGATCGTCCGTTCATGCCCCAACGCGCGGACTATATCAATAATAGCCGGTCCATCCTGTATACGCGCGTAAACGACAGCGATGAGTACCAGACAATGATTATAGGAAGACGTTATGAGGAACCTACTTTCATTCCAGTCAGCGCATGCCTCAATACTCTCATGAACACCTTCAGCTGTACACCGAGTTTTTCCCTTTCCTGATGTAGAGTCACCATGATGCTCTCGTGAGACGCAGCTTCGAAGGTCAGCCACCCGTTGGCCTGTATGACAGTCATGAAAGCATCAATGATATGCATACGTTTTTCAACAGAAATGTCCCGTATCATGCTTTGAGCTTCTACCGATGTCCAATCTGGTTCAACGAAGAGGTACGGAGCGTGGATAGGGATGTCGTGGATGTTCGTCAGTCGGCCCTGATGGAGGTAGAAATACGTGTTCAAGACGTTTTATAGAAGAAGGGAAAGACGAACCTCTAACAACGTTATAGCATTCTTGATGTTATTCACCGTCGTATATGGGCTAGTTGGTTTCGACAAAACCTTGACATCGGTACTTGAGCGTCAAAACACAAAAAAACCGACACTCACCTGGCTTTAAACACATCCTTCACAAGCCCGTGCACCCTCTTTGCAAGCTCCTCCAAGCCCTTTGGATTACTCCAAGTCCTCATCAAATGATGTTTGTTGATATATTCCAGCTTGGTCACATCGAGGATGGAGCTCCGGTGTGTAAGAGCGGGGAGGTCAAAGCCAGAAATCATCTCTGAAAGCGTCATGAGGTGGGTGCTGTCAGGTGCGTCTTCAAGACGGTGCGGAGACGGTGATCGTGAAGACGAGGAAGACGTTCCAGAGGGTGCGGGCTGCTCAGGCTCGTGCTTGGCGCCCCAGCCTGCAAGAGCAAGCCAGTTCAAAATGGCATGTGGTTCCCAACCTCGACGCTAAAGAAAAATTAGAGCATGAAAGTGAAAGAAAGACGAGAAGGAATAGTGAAATAAATACCATGTAATCCACAACCTGAACATCTCCATGCCTCTTTGACATCTTCGTCTTGTCCGGATTCAGGAGGATAGGTATATGAGCGAATTGAGGTGGTGTCAGGTTGAGATGGGTGTACAGATCGAGATGCAACGGGAGTGATGGAAGCCATTCCTACTTACAAGAAAGAAAAGCTATGAATGAGTGAAGAGATAATCACAGCGGTAAAGCGCACACACACCTCTCCTCGTAGGACATGTGTTATGCCCATCTCATGATCGTCTACCACCGAAGCAAGGTGGTATGTAGGGAATTGATCACTCTTCAGTAACACCGGGTCTGTAGCTAGGGAGAGATGAGCATCTCGCACGTATCCATAGACGATGTCGTGCGTCGGAGGACGTGTAGGTACGATTCCGTCCTGGAACCCAAAGGAAACTGTCAAAAATAGACTGATTGAATGGCAAAAAGACTGTTAGCGCACATTGATTCTAACGACATATTTTTCCCCAGCCTTGACCTTCCGTGCGACTTCCTCGTCGCTGAGGTGAAGACATTTCTTGTCGTACGTATTGTTGGACCCGGATCGAGCGAGACGCGCTTTGACATCTGCCAATTCATCTGCGGAGCAGAAACATCGGTATGCCTGCCCATTCTACGTAGCAAGTAAGAATCTAGTGCTCTCGAAAGCAGGGTAAATCACATACATCTACGAGTTTGTTCGCGTATGACCGATACAGGTCGCGCCGTTCAGACTGGAAATACTCATAAGTTGCGATAAATGTGAAGATAGAGATGCTATTACTTGAAAATATGGTCCATGTGGGCCGTCTCTGGCTGGTCCTGAGGGAAAAAGAAAAAGTGTCATTCAGGTTACCTGTGAAAGCTTCTCCAGCCGCGTACCAAAGTCATAATCTAATCCAGCCCAGCTTAGAGCCTTCTGAATGCCTTCCACAGATCCTGGGACTGAGCGGGTCTTTCGCAATATTTCAGTCAATTCTCTGTAGGCATGAAGACAATAACACACACAGTATCCGTATCTTCTATCCTCAAAATCCATTTTCCTCCTAATTTACGCGCGTAAAGATGGTTGTATAGTGCCATGCGAAGTCCTCCGAGATGCAAAGGCCCTGTCGGTGACGGGGCAAAGCGCAGGAGGACCATTTTTATGGTAATGTAGCGAGAGGCGTTAGTATGTGTATCTGTATATGTCACGGTAGCGCTAAGCGGATGGACATTCTTCAAAGGCTTATAAACACTTAAGATATACATTAATTGACACAATTTTTCCAGTCCGATATGGTGTAGTGGCTAACATTATCGCCTCTCACTTTGTTTGCGCGATAGCCCGGGGTTCGATTCCCCGTGTCGGAAGATTTTTGTTTATCTGTCTAGAGTTGTCTAGAATTTTGACTCCTTGCAGTAGACAAACTTCTCCTCTATCGATACTCTTCCATACAAGATCCCTTCACTAATCAATAATAAGGTGAAGCGATCCAGTCGCAAGGGTTTGTACATACTCGCAATAATGAGTGAATCACGATTGACTTTCACATGCCAATGCGCTCTCGAACTTTTTTAATCCCTCAAACCTTGTGGTTCACGAATCGAAAAAGTTACCTCGTTCATGGCCAAAGTTGTCAAAGTTGAAATAGAGCTCGACGCCATTAAAAAGCACTCTCTACTTTCCAAGCTGAACTCTTTGTTGTCGGGAGTCACAGTGACCAAGACGAGTAGAGATTCCCGGGTATAAGTAGTAATGTCCACTGGCGACTCCAGCCCCCCAAGGCTTCGTTCGACCCTTGATATATGAACCCGTCGCCTGCGTCGGAGCTATCGCTCGAGCAAGATCATACAATTTCTCTCTTTTCTTTCTTTTCTTCTCGAACTTATTTGAGCTTAGAATTTCTGCAGGACAGAATTCGCCCAGTGGCCTTTCATCAGCTTCGATTCCTTCACAAAAAATTTCCACAATGCATCTTCGCCCTAGCTGGCTGAAGCTCGTTGCTGTGGCTTCCTTGTTCATTGTTGCTGGCGCCATACCATATAAGAGATCAAAGTATAGCAACAATGCCTCGAGGGACCAATCTCCAAAGCTTGTCTCCTCGAACGCAAGTTCTTTGGAAAAAAGAGGAGATACTACAGAGCAAGCATTTGCAAACGAATGGTACAATCAACTCGACGTACGTCTTGTTTTCATAGCCTACATCAAACATTTGAACTCGACACAAAATAGTGCGAAGATTGGATCGACTATTCTCGAGGCTCTATGTGTGTCGGATATGGGACGAACAGGAAAAAGTTTATGCGTGCGTGCATTCATATGTTACTCTCATGTTCGCAATGTTTAACTTGCAACAGGAAACGATTTGACAGCTGAAATAGCTGACCGTAAATCATTCGTCAAAATTGGAAATCACAACCGGGGCTTGTTCACTTTACCGAAACGCAAGGATTCTATTGCGAAAATCGTTAAAATCGAAGGCCTCGAAAGTGAAAATGCCGCATGCGAAGTTCAATCTTTAAAGGATTTCGGACAGAAGGTAGAGGCTGGATTCACGACCTTGCCCGGACAACCGGAACCGTTTGGCGTCATCATCATGAAAAGAGTGAGCGGTGTATCCATCTGGGATACTCCAAAGTGGAAGAAGCTCACGGCTACTTCGGCGAAGAGGTTGGATTATATAAACTCACTTAAACCAAAGGTTAGCGACGTGATATATAATTTCCTACTCAAAGGAAAACCTCTTTTCACGTGTGTTCTTTATATTTCAAGGTTTTACAGACACCGCACTGATTCGCGATCTTTTCTACTCATCAGCGACTTCGATCCGTCGAACATTCTCATTGATAAAGATGAGAATGTGCGACTTGTGGATTTTGGCTATCCAGGTATCTGGCCCGTCAAAACGTGTCCAAAGAGAGATATCTTTGTAAGTTCTCGGGTGTGATTCTGCCTCGGTGTAATATCACCGCTAACACATCTTGTAGGACAAGTGGTTCGAAAGACGCTGGTACTTCCTGTGGGAGCCTCTTTACGAGAAAGCAGGAAACAAGATACCTGCTGAATGTCAATGGAACAAGAATGATGAAAGTAGTACTAAGGCAAGCTTAGCCAAAAGTATATCGAAAAAACTTCCTTGGAAGGGGAAAGGACGAGGGAAAAGAGATATAACAGCCAGGGCGGAGGAGACTATGTATGTGTCGTGGTGACAGGAACCTTCTTGAATGCTCGTTGTGGGGCCTAATAATTCAAGTCATTTCTTACCAGCTGCTACAAGCTCCTCACCTGGGATCACAGACCTTTATAGTAAAGTTAATTAATTCTCTTGAATCAATCTCGAGGCAATATCCAGAACTTTGCAGCTGGAACCATTACCAGCTCACCATTTTGCTCCCCTTATTTCATTGAATGGTCTGATATTCATATCATCCAAAGTTTTTCGGTTAGCCGGATATCCGGATAGTGTAACGGGAACTTTGCGCTTATCCCGCCGTTTTCGGTGTGCTTCACTCATCCTGACTTATGGTTGTAATCTGCCGATTTGCATATGTACATATATCGTCAACTGCATAAGTAGGGCAAACAAATTTATTTTTTCTTTCTATCCAACATCTTACACGGCCCCGACTATTACTACTTGGGGCAAGAGCACGGACGTTGCCGATACTGACAAAAGATTCGGCTTTATTGATATGTGATATTTTGTGATTCTTCGGGCCTCAGTATACCAGTACTTGAAATCGGATCGTTCTTTTCTTGTTTTTCCTGGCACATATCCCGAAAGTTGAGTGTATGTAGACCTAGAAATCAATTTTTTGAGATGTTTTGTCCTTTTTGTACGTTTACGTTTTGCACACCTTTTCTTCGTCCGGCAAGGCATCGCATAGCCTTGCTGAATACAAAAAAAAGGCTGCTGTCGTGAGGGCACGTTGTTCTGTCTTGTAACTTGTAATTTATCCGCAATCCCTCACCGAACTGCGCCGTAAGTTGGCGGAAAGCTTGTAACAGCGCCTGAGTCAATAGGCGTGTTCAATTATAAATCCGGTTTCACGGCTTTCTGGAATTTCGTAAAAAATTACTAAATATGGAAATTATCCGTCGCTCTTTCTTGCCTTCTGCTAACTCTACTGTCAATCCAATAATGTTGAAAACCCAGGGTTAGGCTGAGCTTTTACTCATAGCTTGTGCTCTAGTTGCTGCATCTGAGGCTTTGGACAACAATGAAGATGTAAACTTACCATTAGATGACCTGGATGAAGATTCAGAGGTGCTCGAGCTTGCGGCAGCACTTATGATCCAAAAGGTGTCAGAAATCAAAGGGGATGGTACTCGTGGGCCTTATAATCAGTTTTCAAAGTCTAAGGACTGGTTTTCTACCAGTTTGCAGCAGCCCGATCGATGGTTTCGTAGCAATCACAGGTGCGCCACTACATATGACTATTTTATGTTTCTCTCATTATTCTTCTCAACTAGGATGAGCCGGAATATGTTTGATCGCCTTGTTTTTATACTTGCACCCAACGCCGTCTTCCATTCTCCCAAAAAGAAACAGTGGCATGTAAAATACCAGCTTGCGACTTTTCTCATACGATATGGACAACCTGTATTCACTGATAAGTTTATGGATCTTTTCATCGATGACTTCACGAGTGAGGGAGTTCCTGCAACCGTTGGCTCTGCGCACTGTTACAACTCTCGGTCATCGATCTCCTCAACTGCACTAGGAGAGAGAGACGAAGGAGAGTTGCTCAAGCAAAAATTCTCGAAAAAAAATTTCTATATATAGTAATTTCTTACGAAATTCGAAAAGCCGTGAAACCGTATTTATAATTGAACACGCCTAATCTCCGAGAAATGGCAGCCGCAATGACATCAGCCGCATTGGCTAAAAGCTGAATGGGCTAAATCCCCTGTCTGACCTTATTACTTACACTCCATCATCATCATCATCCTCTGGTCATCGATTCCTGTTATTATTCCTTCACTGCACCTTTCATCATCTCCTAGTTTTCTTTCAGTCTGAAATTTAAAATCCTCGTCCCACAAACACTTTGACAACCTCGTGCTGGCCATATTCCTGCCATGATGGGTCTCTTCAGTCAAGCCGGCTCTCATCTCCGAAATGTTACAGGCAGTAACGCAAAGCCTCGAGGCTCCTCGGAGGACGATAAGGCTCCTTCAGACACTGAGCCTGATGATACCTCGATCCTGTTCGTCTTATTATTCTACGCAAGATCATGTTTCTTTCCAAGACTGACTTCTGTGGCGGCAGCGATGAGAATGAAGGAAGTATCATATCGTCGTTAATTTCTCAGCTCAGGTGAGCTGCTGAGGCCCTGTCCATAAATCTTTGCATTGACGGTCGTATATCAGAGTTGGGATGGACCTTTCTCGTGTCACTTTTCCTACTTTTGTGCTCGAACCAAGGAGTATGCTCGAGAGAATTACAGATTTCATGTCACATCCGGACCTCATATTCGGGTGCGTTACCTCTTTGCTCCTTTGAACTATTTCGACTCACAACATCATCATCTATTCATCTTTCCTCATTCAATCTCCGTGGCTATACTATACACAGCGCCGAACAATGTGACGATCCAGAGGAAAGATTTCTTCGAGTACTACAGTATTACCTTGCGGGATGGCATATCAAACCAAAGGGTGTCAAAAAACCTTACAATCCCGTTCTTGGAGAGTTTTTCCGCTGCCAGTACGATTACCCTAATCGCACTCAAGGATTCTACATCGCCGAACAAGTCTCTCACCACCCACCAGTATCTGCTTTCTTCTACATCTCTCCCGAAAACCGCGTTATGATTCTTGGAGAGCTTCGACCCAAATCGAAGTTCCTCGGCAATAGCGTGAGTACCACAATGGAGGGCGAGAACAGAATTACGCTACTCGGCAAACCGGAAGATGGAGGTACGTGCTGATAATGCCTCGCGTTGCATACAACTGAGTTTCGAGCAGAATATGTTATCACAATGCCAAACATGTACGCCCGAGGGATATTATTCGGCAAGATGGTTCTCGAGTTGGGTGATACTTGCATAGCTAAGAATGAGAAAAATGGCATCAACTGCGACCTGGAGTTCAAGACAAAGGTGCGCAATCATCTTTGAAGGGATTGATCATTGTGACTTACATGGCTGTCTCGTACAGGGTTTCTTCTCTGGTACATACAACGCCATATCTGGTCGAATCAGACACAACAACAATGAAGTCGGAGAAGTGTCAGGCCGTTGGAGCCATGTCATGGATTACAAGAATACGAAGGTGTGTTCACGCGAACTCCCTGGATTGAGAAACAACATTAATATTACTTCCTAGACTGGTGCTAAACGAATAATCTTCGACGCGGTGAAGGATG